TTTTATTTATGTCATTAATTCAAACATATTTATATATCACATCCCTTAAAATCAACAATTATTCTTTGAATTTTTTATTTTATACCAATTATACATCCCACATGAAACGAATGCAACCCTGTCACTTGTAGACCATTATGTTGCCACTTGTCAATCCTCCGGAATTTACTCTCTGCTTTTCCCGCTCAGTGCAACATTCATATATTCGAAACCTATCCTATAAATCAGCTTATTTGTTACCAATATTTGATTTTATACCCATAATTACCTACAATGAAAAACAACTTTATTTATGGAAATAAAGTTCAAACACATTTATTGTTTCAGACCCTTTAAATCAAGAGAGTGTTCGACCAAAGTTTCCTTTAAATCCGCATTTCAATTTTAAATATTTTCAACTTTCTATCAAAAAAATCCTGCAATCAAAACGAATTTTATTTATGTAATTAATTCAAACATATTTATATATCACATCCCTTAAAATCAACAATTATTCTTTGAATTTTTTATTTTATACCAATTATACATCCCACATGAAACGAATGCAACCCTGAATTGCATGTAAATTTTGCAGCTTTTAAAAATAATTTGTTTGAAAAGTTTCTATTTTGTTCAATCAATTAAATTTGAAATAAATCTTTGATTATTTAATTGAGTAAAATCTCATCTTTTGATTGCATTTATAAAACCTTAACCCCAAAAAAGTTATTATGTTTGGAATTTTATATATCTTAAAACCACCTAAACATTAGTTTTGAAAACTCACATGATTGCTTTTAAAATATGAAAGAAACTGTATAATGTATTGTTAAAAACATGAACCAGTTTCCCAATGCATTTTCAGTTTTATACATATCTTAATACCATCTAATTTACATTACAAAATATACAAGGACCATTTTAGGTTTTTTTACTTACCATATAATATATGCATAAAGTGTTTTGGTTATTTTCCACATAAGAATCAATCTGCCATTTTTTTTAAACATGGACTACAAAGTATTATTTAAAATATGTACACGATTTCTGTTAGGTTATTTTTTAAATAATGGACAATGGGTCATTTTTTAAACATGTGTTGTTTGCTAAAATTTTATTTTACTTTATGAAATAAACAAGGACCATTTGTGGACATTTTTTTTTTAATAAACAACCACCAGTTTTGATCGATTAATAAATAATGCACGAGTGTTGTTTATAGTGTTTTTCATTTAATTGTATAATTTTTCGTTTTTTGTATAAATCTTATCAATATACTGTTTTCAGTATTATTCTTCTTATATAATTAATTCATTATAATTCAGCTAAACTGTTTTGTATATTTATTCAAGACAAAATTGCAAAAATGGTCCCTGTGGTTTGTCAATTTCTGTGGGTAAGGTCCAAAAAAAGTTTATTAGCAAAAAAGGTCCCTATTTGATGGTTTTGTTGTGGTTTTGGTCCCTACCTCGTTAAGTTTAACAGTATGGCTGTTAACTTTTGGCAAATGACGGATTTACCCCTGGGACCATTTCTGCAGTTTTATCTTTTTACCAAACTACAAGGACCAATTATGCAATTTTTTCTTTTTCATTTTATTGAATTATTATATATTAATTATTTTAATTACTTATTTCTCTTTAACTTATTTCTTATTGTATTATTTTTTATTGGATTATTATATATTAACAAATATTATTTTTAATATATTATATTTATATATAAATAAATATTACTTTGTTTTTTTATTAATTTTTTTTTAATTAAATTTTTTTTTGAAATAACTCTTTATTGCATTAATTCTTTTTTGTTGGATTATTATATATTAACAAATATTATTTTAACATATAATATTTCTCTATTAGTAAGTGTTACTTTATTGGATTATTAAATTTATTTAATTAATTTTTTTTAATTTTTTTATTTCGTCAATTCTTTTGATTGAATTATTATATATTAATAAATATTATCTTTAATATATTATATTTATATATTAATAAATATTACTTTTTTGTTATTAATTTTTTTAATTTAATTTTTTTAATTTATTTTTTATTGTATTAATTCTTTTTTATTGGATTATTATATATTAACAAATATTATTTTTAGCATATAATATTTATCTATTAGTAAGTGTTACTTTATTGGATTATTAATTTCATTTAATTAATTTTTTTTAATTTTTATATTGCATTAGTTCTTTTTATTGGATTATTAATTTAAATTTATTATTTTTATTTATAATAATTAATATTTATTTAATTGTTTTTATTTTATTTTAATTTCTTTCTTTATTGTTTTAAATAAAAATACCAAACACTCCGGATCAGCTCCTCTATTCGTTGCATTTTACCACCTTGCGTCGTCGTATCATCTCGCTGGAAATCATCGATCATCGACTACAGTCGGCCATTCTCGACGAAAACTACACCAGTTGACTACCCACACAATGTGAAATAAACCCCCAGAAAGCATACTTCCTCCAACCGACCATTCATTACAGATACCACCATCGATGACGACAATGTTAGATCGAAGGTTTTCAAACCACCATAGCCACTACAAGTGGTGACAAAGTTGTAGAACTTGTTATTCGGTACTCGTTCGGCCCACCGCCGAGTAGCGAATACTCAGATTTGGTATTTCATGTGGAAATATTTTTAGAGAAATTATATATGTCAAAATCATAAGTTAAAATCATAAGTTTATTGAAATATATAGCAAATTTAGATATATATGAATACACAAAAACTAAATACACACGATGATCTCACTTTGTGAATAATTACTAAACTTATATATATATATATATATATATATATATATATATATATATATATATATATATATATATATATATATATATATAGTAACAGGGTTGGAGACGGCCCGATAGTGGTTTGTTGTGACTGAGTGATGGTGGTGGTGTTGTCTAAAATATGTTATCTTCCAAATATTTAAAATAAATTAGAGAATGTGGGGTGGGTGAGATTTTTTGGTATTTTTATTTGAAACAATAAAGAAAGAAATTAAAAGAAAATAAAAACAATTAAAAATTATTATTTATTATAAATAAAAATAATAAATTTAAATTAATAATCCAATAAAAGGAACTAATGCAATAAAATAATTAAATAAAATTAATAATCCAATAAAGTTTATTATATGCTAAAAATAATATTTGTTAATATATAATAATCTAATAAAAAAGAATTAATACAATTAAAAAGCAATTAAAAAAATCGATTAAAAAATTAATAATAAAAAGTAATATTTAATATATCAATATAATATATTTAAAATAATATTATTAATAGATAATAATCCAATCAAAAGAATTAACAAAATAAAAAAATTAAAAGAAAAAAATTAAATGAATTTAATAATCCAATAAAGTAACACTTACTAATAGATAAATATTATATGTTAAAATAATATTTACTAATATATAATAATCCAACAAAAAAAATTAATGCAATAAAGAAGAAATTCAAAAAAAATTAATTAAAAAAAATTAATAATAATAATAAGTAATGTTTATTAATATATAAATATAATATATTAAAAATAATATTTATTAATATATAATAATTCGATAAAAAAATAATAGAATATGAAAAAAAGTTAAAAAGAAAAAAGTAATTAAAATAATTAATATATAATAATTCAATAAAATGAAAAAGAAAAATTGCATAATTGGTCCTTGTAGTTTGGGAAAAAGATAAAACTGCAGAAATGGTCCCAGGGGTAAATCTGTCATTTGCCAAAAGTTAACAGCCATGTTGTTAAACTTAACGACGTAGGGACCAAAACCACAACAAAACTATCAAATAAGGACATTTTTTGCTAATAAACTTTTTTTTGGACCTTACCCACAGAAATTGACAAACCACAGGGACCATTTTTACAATTTTGTCTTTATTCAAAATAATGGCAACATGAAATGTGACTCTAATAAGTGAACCAAATGTGCTAAAGGATGATTTCACTTTGAAAGTTTGTTTCATCAACTTATGGACCCTTATATTGTTTACGATATGTTTTCCAATGAATTGATTTTTTTTATATTTATTCTGTTTTTTTTTCACTCTATTCAAATTTATATTACATTGCAAAAAAATAAAAATATCTACAAATACCAAATGTTGATCGGATATTCAACCCATGTGATGTTGTAGTTTGAACTAATTATTAAATAATTATATATTTATAGACAAAACATTTATCTTTATAAATTAATAAAAAAATTATTATCATCGGTCAATAATTATCTTATAATTTATTTATATTTTTTTTTCTTTCTCATCCGTGCGATCCACAGGTTATAACCTAGTAAGTCATATACACTAATCAACTGCCAACATGACAACCACTTGGCATGATAACCGGCTCTATGGTTCAAAACCTACACACCTTAAAGCGATTTTTACAATAAACAAGATTTTTTTTATATAAAAAAACCTTAAGTGTTTTTATGTCGTCAACTTCCCTTTCTAAAATTATACAGTTTTGTAAAAATAATTTCAACACGATTGCTGAATTTATGATGTATATCGAATGACTACACTTATCGATTGCTTCATCTTGCTACTTGATTGCTGAATTTTGCTAAATGATACCTAATTCATTTAATCTTTGGCTCTCGAGAACATGCATAAAATAAGGAACAACTATATCCAAAACAATCTACTAATATATGTTGTGAGTAGACTCCAAAACTCAAAAGATAATACTAGTCTAAAGCTTCCAATCTACTAATATATCTGACATTTATTAAACCAGTATATGCTAGATCAGCTACTCAAATACCCTTTATTAAACCAGTATATGCTGAATTTGAAGACAAGTGGATCATACCAAAATTACTCAAAATTTTAAAATATTGACAAAATTGATGTTTTGCATATTACACAGCTAAGTGACCATCACTACTGTGTTTTTCTTATCTTGTAACTTGTACGTAATGAAAAAGTTATAAAAAGATGGCCAAAATCACACCTTTTAGAAAACCAAGATGACATCTACACTGTAAAACAATGAGCATCCACTCCTTCCTTTGGCACAAGCTTACCAATCAGCTTAAGCAAAGAAGCATCTAAGGATCTAGCTTTTATATGATCAAGTAACATTGATACGGTTGTAGCATCAACTGAGAAACCTCTTCCTTTCATTTCCAGTAAAAGCATCTCTACCATATCATGTTGTTGGTTCTTTAGAAATCCTTGGAGAAGAACACGGTAAGTCACATCATTTGGCGAGCAGCCTCTCTTTTCCATTTCAAAAAACAATTCTTTTGCTTCCCCCATCACACCTTCCCGGAAAAAACCACTAATCATTGTATTATATGTCCAAACATCAGGTGGTAAACCTTTCACAGTTAGTTCATTGAAAAGGTTCCTTACAATATCAAACTTCCCATTTTTACTTGCACCATCAATGAGTATATTGTACACAATAATATTTGAATTTAGCTTGTTATCACCCATTAAATAGAATAAAGAGAGTGCTTTCTCCACTTGATTGTTGTTGCATAGACCCTCCAAAACTATTCCGTAAGTGATTTCATCCGGATTCAGGCTGTGTGCTCTCATCTCATAAAACAGTTCTTCTGCAACTTTACAACGTCCAACTCGAAACAATCCTTGTATCATGATGCTGTAAGTGATCACATCAGGTTTCATACCTTTTTTAGTTATTTCATGAAATAAATGCATGGCCTCTTCTATCTTCAGTTTCATGAAATAAATGCTCATTTCTCCACGCAAACAATACCCATCAATAAGTGAATTGTATATCACTACATTCGGAACGTTGCCTTTTTGGATCATTAAGTTGAAGACACCTTTTGCATCTTTAACCTTACCTTCTTTGCAAAGTGAACCCACTAATATACTAAAAGTATGAACATTTGGGGAGATCCTTTGCTCTTCCATTTCTTTGAGTATTTTATCGACTTCGTCCCAACGACACAAGTTACAAAGGCCGTGAATTAAAGAGGTGTAAGTGACAACATTAGGTAGGATGCCTTTGTGGAAGACCATTTCTTTGAAGAGTTTTAAAGCATCATCTACCATTTTTTCCTTGCAAAGGCTATCAATGATGGTGCTATATGTGACCACATTAGGTTTACAACCCTTTTCATCCATTAGTTTAAGCAAGGAAATGGCTGTATCATTATTTCCAAATTTGCAAAGCCCTTTAATCATAGTACTGTACATAATTGCATTAGGTTCACAAAGTTCCTCCTTGATCAGCTTTTTGAATAACCTTTCTGCAATGAGGAATCTATCTTCTAGGATGAGTCCATTTAAGAGTGTACTAAATGTGTAAACATCAGGGAAAACAGCACGTTTAAAACCATAGCTTAGGACTGCAAATCCTTCATTGGTGTGGTGCATTTGGCAGCAACACTTGATAACAATGTTAACAGTGTACACATCCACAGGAACACGAAGGACATTCATTTGTTTAAAAAGATCAATCGAACAAGAATAGTGTTTCATTTTGGTAACAGCTTGCAACAACTGGTTGAACTGAACAACGGAGGGCAGAGGTTGCCTCTGTGTCATTTCATCGAACAGTTTGAGGGCATCATCAAGGTCGAGGATGATTAAAAACAGTTTCATCACTGGAAGAGGAAGTTGAATGAAACGGCACTAACATCGTTTTGGAGGGACAGATTACATTAGCTAATTTAAAAAATGATGAACGATTTTTGAAAGAAAGAAGGGAAGCCAAGAAGATACTTCTGAATTTGTTGGGGGGATAGGACAAGATGAAAGAAGCAACGATTTGTGGAATCGCCGTCACCATGATAATCGTCTTCAACTCAAAAAGTTTTTGAAGGTTCAACTTCTTGGATTCAATAAACCACTTTTCTGATTTACTCGCGTAATTACTAATGTCAGCGTTCTGGATTTACTTGATTCAATAGTGTTTAAAAGTCATTTTCAGTAGAGACCTAATTTTAAACCTTATCAAATTTAGAGTAAATTACAGTTTTAGTCATGTAATTTGACTAGATTCTTATATTTGGTCCAACCTTTACAATTTTGATAGAAATCATCATCATGTGGTTTGGTAAAACTAGGTAGTCATTGATTTGGATAAAAAAAAAAACAATTTTATCATTTTTTTTCTTTCTTCTTTTACCCATTTATAATATTTAATAAATAAAATAATATCAATTCAGCCCACCAACCCAGCACCTTATTTTGATAGAAATCATCATCATGTGGTTTGGTAAAACTAGGTAGTCATTGATTTGGATAAAAAAAAACAATTTTATCATTTTTTTTCTTTCTTCTTTTACCCATTTATAATATTTAATAAATAAAATAACATCAATTCAGCCCACCAACCCAGCACCTTATTTTTCTATTAATTCATGTCGTCTTCCCCATTCTCTCATTCACCCCTCAATTGGAAACCCTAGAGACACCTAACGCCTCCACTTACCGTTTTCATCTCCGGCAAGAGACCAACATCACCCACTCGACTAACCGTTGTTACTCTTATCTCCCTCTCTTCTCACTTCCATTCAGTCTCCCTCATTCTCTTCTTGCCACCATTGCTAACCACATCTTCACCTTCCCTATCAATTACATTTCCGCTTTCTCTATTTGTAAATATATATGGAGCCTAAGATTGTCTCTCCAATAGAGTTATTGTGGAGAGAAGAGAGACTTCAATATATATAGTCACTTATATTACAGTGTCACACCGATGTGAGATATACTAACACTATTTTCCTTCTATCTAATGAAAAAGATAAATGCATCACCATCCCCACTTGTGATTGCATTTTCCGGTCACTCTCACTAGAGAAGGGGAAAGATCCATTACTATAGGAGGTTTCATTACATGTAAATTTAACGGGGAAGACTTTGCATCGTTAATGGTGAGATTCAGGTGCGTGGCAGTCAACTTGTTGCACCACAACCATTTTAATGTATCAATTGCCAATGAGCACTAAAAGATGTGGAACTATTTAAGATTGAGCTTCTTTAAAGAGAGATTTATTGAAATTGGAATGATTAGAGCCGAGAATAAGGGAGATGTATGGACTATTTCTTAAGTATTTATTTAAAATTTATGGCTCCAAGCTACGTATTTTTGTATAAAAATAAGGCAATGACTTTAGTACTTAAAACTTTACAGAACACTTAATCATAACATATGATTTTTTAGAAAAATAGGGTTGTATTTTATTTGGTGCTTGATGAGCGCATTTAAACCCCATACGTTATAAGAATAAGTGATTGTTGGTGTATGAACTTGGAAATGGAGCTGGAAGTCTAGGAATTTTTATAAACATTTCTACATTGTTTTAACCCAGATTGTAACGTCCCATTTTCACAACCAAAATTTTTCATTTTATTTAAGTAAATCTTCCAAATTATAAATTCGTTATGTAGAAAACCGTTTATTTCAAATACATTTATAAAAATCAGAATAATATTAAAGCGTGAAATCTTCATTGTTGTTGATGAATGGGTACAATCACGCATTCACCTTCCCATGATGACCGATGATACCTGAAACAATAAACAACCAAGTAAGCACAAAGTTTAGTGAGTTCCCCAAAATACCACACATAATCAAACAGATAAACGAGCAACGAGCCTAATCAGTCATCGGACTAAAATGCCCAACTTGTAACGCCCACAGATTCGGGCTAGTCAATTCAAAGACAATCAGCCTCAAAAAACGACCTTTTATAGATGGTTATTTAGAATAAATAATCTTAAACAAACTATAATATATGTCACAAGGGTTTCGTACATATAAAGAATGTTGAAATCTGAGTTATAACGAAGAAGTTATGACCTGTCGAACTTTTACGACTAAACCGGCACGACACCGCGTAACATAAAAAGTGAGTTTGCGATAAAATACTTTTTAGCCTTAGGGATCAAAACAAAAGGCGTAATATATGTTAAACCGAGAACGTACATAAAAATAACGTCCAAATCTGACTTTGTATGAGGTAGTTACGATTTTTCTAAGATTTAGAATAGCAGTGCACAGCCCGGAATTCGAATTTTAGATCGATCGATTTCTAGCCGACACAACCTAAATGAGAATTGAAGATCTCATTAATAGGAGCTCAACGATATAAAGAGACGAAAACGGACGTCGAATGACAAAGTTATGAATATTTAACGGAGCGCTAGAAGGCCCTGAGTAGAAGAGATTTCGACTCAGAAGTTCTACCCGCGCAGAGCCCGATTCTTCGCTAAACTCCATTGTAAGTGAGTTATGCTTACCCTACTATAAGTATAACTTATGTTTAATTTCATTATCGTTATTATGCACCTATAAACAATATATGTAAGTATTATAAAATATACAAAGAGTTATTATAATACATTTTAATTGCTCGTGGTGTGGGGAATCTGGTTTGAAGGGCCGCATAGGGTTGTTGGATTTCAGAACAGCTTAAATGTCAAAATGGTACTGCCCTCCGGTGTTTCATGTCTGACTACTGTCTGTACATAGTAGTTGAAAAGTATTGTTTAACACTGATAAAACAATATCGCTCGTAGACCTTGAGTTAATTAAGTCGCAATAAATATTAGACTAAAACTTAGCAATAATAATGTTAGGTTTCGTCGAAGGAAAAGACGATTGTTAGAAGCAAAGCGTTGTCCGAATTTCGAGTCATTACTTTAACAAGTGAGTGCATAGTTACTTTCACTATGTGTGCATATTATCTGTGTTCCTAGTATTTATCCTAGATGAACGATTTATACATGTTTACGTGATTTAAACTATATATATATATATATATATATATATATATATATATATATATATATATATATATATGTATGTATTTTTATACTTATAAATATATATTGGGTAGCGATGGGTGATGAGAGAAAGGTGATGATAGAAAGGTGATGATATAAAGGTGATGATAACTAGGTGATGATAGATAGGTTATGATAAATAGGTGATGTGAGATGTGAGGAGATACCATAATCTTGACCTGCAATGTTGTGATGTAGTCATCTACCAGAGTATAGATGGCGACCATGGACTATTCTAGACAGTCATGTGGAAACACTAGCAGACTCATAACATGTAGGTGATAAATTACGAGTGCAAGCGATATTGTAACTACGTATTCATGCGATGATACTCTAACCCTTACTAGACACGTATTGAGGGAGTAATCCCCGAATCAGTATAGTCTATGCGATGTAGGCGATGATCCTTAGGAAAAGTCCTTAGGAACAAATATATAAGAAAATGTGATGTAAGAAGATGAGAGGTAAATACAATATAGGAGATAACCCTTAGGATAAATCTTTAGGGAAGATTAAATGAAGAAAATGGGGATGAGTAATCGGGTTCATTGGTTGACATGAATTATGTGAAGAAACAAATTAACTATATTATTGTGGGTTGAAAACCTTATGTACTCACTAGGTTTCCCAACCTGACCTACTTAGTTTATTTATATCACAGGTGTCGATTTGAAGATACATTACACTGAGAGATTAAAGGAGATGTAAATCATTAGTGTAAATGAATGTAAGGTGTGTTTATGCTTATGTTTCTATATTGACGATGACATCCCTATGTTTTAATATAAATAAAATACATTTCTTCGGAAATGCTTTGATAATATTATTATCATTTTTTTTCTGGGAACAAATTCTGCAATGATATTCTTTAAAATGAATACTCTGATTTTTAAATAAGCATAAATAAAAATTTTAAAATGACCGTGAATTTGGGGATGTCACACAACTATACCGGGTTTGTTGGCCTTACCACCTCAACCCAACCACTCAACCCGAGCCTTCGTGCCTGCGGCTTACAGTCGTCCCACACCAGGTATCTTGGTCTTCAGCACAAAGCAGGACCTCCTCAACCCAACCAAACACAACATGTCAACATGTAAACAATCAAAGGTTAAGTAGGCATATAATACAGGAAAACATCAATCATACAGCTCACTACCGCCTACTAGTCCTCTCACAACATACAGTCTCGCTGCCAGCTAAACTCCATGAAATGTGTAACCATAAGTAACCACAAGTGAAATAGCCACCCGAACAGATGATCCTATTCTAAAGCCACAACCAAACAAGGAATAGGAAAGAAATCCAAGATCAAGAGTTATCAGGCTATCCTACATGACTACAGACAATCCCTAGGGCACTCCACTAGATGATAACCAACAAGTATAGATAACATACAGTTCTACAAATCACTACAATAAAACAACATACTCGGTACCAGGATACAGATCTAACAGATAACTACAACAAAGCAACATACTTGATACCACGATACAGATCGAAGAGATCACTATAGCAAAGCAACATACTTGATACCAGGATACAGATCTAATAGATCACTACATCATAGCAGCATACTAAATATCTACAATCCAAGGAATGCATGACCGTATATACTCAGAGGTGAGATAGACACCCCGACAGGCGATCCTACTCTAGAACCACAACAAACAAGGAACATGTAAAAGAGCCTAGATCAAGAGGCCTCAGTCTATTCTACATGACTATATACAGTCCGCAAGGCATCCATTTACTAACAAATAACCAAAACTAGTGCACCGACATTGGTGCCTTCGACCAACGAGTATAGA